TATTATCTCCTGTTTTAGACTAGATTTCCAGAAGCAATTTAACTCGATCTCAGTTGAGATTAATGTTTAATGTGCCACATGAATACTGGGGCAGCTTCATATGGGAGGATTTAAGACCTCTGCTAACCTAACATAAGGGTTGTATTGTATGGCAGAGAATTCCTCTGCACTTTGCCAGACCAGCCACAACTTTGAGAAGTTAGCGAGGCCTTAAGTTCCTGTAACCCCACATGGAGAAAAAAAGGAAAACTAATGGGAGGGGATAGCTTCAGGAATGGTTGGTATTTCGAAATGTTGTTCTTCTCCACAAGTTTATTTTTGTCTCTTTCATCGAGACCCAGGAAACCCTTTCTCTGCCAATCAGAGAGCTCCATCCCCAAACATCCCCAGATTTCCACAGTCACAACATACAGGAGAGCTAGTATGGACAGTGGCTCACAAGTATTAAAAACAGACAGGCCAGTGTTAGAAAGAGGGCTTTTTTTTCCTTAATGGTGATGAGTGAGCTCAAGTATGATTAATCTAATCCCACCTTTAAGTAAACGGAGTGCAACGTTCATTAAACAATTCACACAAGATAAACGGCACCGGGATACGGTTATCACCTCTAATTAGACAACCTCAGCCCATGAAAGCTTCATATTTATCAACGTTAAATCTCTGTAACAAGGTCACTGACATCTCTGTTGGAGCTAGAAAATCGACGGAACATAGAAAGTAGCAGAGAAGAGGAGAAGTTAGAAGTAAGAGCCTAATAGTTATGACAAGAAAAGTGACTTACCGCTCACTTCTCTCACGGCTGTCTCTCTTCTTTACTCAGTCTATGACAAAACTTCTCAAGTCGGTCCCTTAACCGCACTCGGTCTCGCCCTCTCTCCCTCTTTACATGGACGCACATGTGACAGCCGCCGAACAGCCGAACAGCGAAATGGCGACATCTAGTGTTCACTAGCGCTACAGCACTGAAAATCAATAATCCTCTTTTGTGGAGCGGAGCGCCCCCTGACAATTTCCACAGGTAATTTATGGGCTAATTTGGTATGACACGGTGGGTGATTTCAAAGAAGCATCCGATGAATACAAATAACTACATCAAGTAAAGACATTTTTTGTCCACGCACAAACATATTGATGGTTTCCAAGCTAATACTTGATTTAAAAAAACAACAACAACTAACACTGATATTTCCATCACATACCTGCAAAACACTGATTTTCAGAGCTCACAGTGTTTTGATAAATATATATTTGTCAAGCAAATCAAAAGAAATTTAAAGAGTCTATGCCTTGCAATACATTTTCAGCATAACTATGTCTGCTAACTATTTAACCGTTTCTCAAGCTTGGCAGTAATTTCCCATTAAAATTCATCCATACTGAAATGAAAATGTCAGATGTCACATTTCAAAACATCTAGCAGTTATGCTGACATTTCACTAGTGACGCCAGTAATAAGGACACAGAAGGGAGGTTTTTGGCTCAACATCACTGACTTCCAAGGTGGAGAAGAGCTGGGGTGTAAAGAGGCCGAAGCTCTGGTAAAATAAAGAACAATGAAGCTGTTTTTACACTACAAGTGTCCCTGATGCTAGAAGAGAGGTCATAAGGACACATCACCAGGAAACCTTGAATAAATTTTGCTTGATTCCCATGTGAACTTTGGCCTCCTAATGGCAAAAGTCAGAAGATCTCCAACATCAGTAGGAGTCAACCTGTACAGACCGTCTGCACCACAGGCTCCAAGTGCTCAGCACTATCAGCAGACCGAAGGCTACTCCACCTGTGGGGTTCAAATATTTGATGTACTTTTTCTTTTCTAAAGTGCTGACAAATTGAATGATGGCAGCACAAGCTGAATGACATGGTTGAGAGATTGTGATTAAGTGTGCTGATAGCTTAAAAAATGCTCAAACAAAACTAGCAAACATGCTGTCTGTCTGCTCTTGTGGGAAAAGTCAAGTATGTAAGATGCCCTAAAATACTGATGGGATCCATTTTTGATGAGTATCACGAGTAGATTTTGCTACACTTTAAGAAATTGGACACGTGTTCTCAGTAGATCTCACACACAGTGTAGATGAAAAATTTGCATGCAAGCTCTGTAAAGATTGATCCTTTATTCCTTCAGCCCTGCAGTCATTGGAAAAAGAAAGCTTTCACAGAACTCTATGCAGCCTTATGAAACTAAGTACACACCATGATTCAGTAGCTTGCAAAACCACCTTTAGTGGCAATAGCTTGAAGTAACCATTTTTTCTATGACTTCATCAGTCTCTCTCATTGCTGTGAAGAAAATTTGGCCCACTCTTCTTTGCAGTGTAGGGAGTTCTAGACTTTGACTGGGCCACTGCAATTTTTTTTCTTTTTTAGACATTCTGCTATACTTTGGTATACAGATAAATTCAGGGTTGACTTAATAATTGCAAAGTGTTCATATCCTCTAAGAAGCCCAAACCATCACCCCTCCACCATTGTGCTATTTTGTGCTATTTTGTGTTTTTGCTGACATGCTGTGTTTGTTTTGCGCCAGATGTGCCACTGTGCATTATGGCCAAACATCTCCACTTTCATCTCATCTGTCCAAAGCACATTTTTCCAGAAGAGTTGGGGTTTGGCTCAGATGCATCTTTGCAAACAGAAGGTGTGCTGCCGTGTTCTTCTTAGAGAGAATAAGCTTTGTCCTGGTAGCCTTTCCAAACAAACCATACATGTTTGGCTTTCCTCCAATCATATTGTCATGAAAGTTAATGTTTAACATGCTAACTGAGGCCTTTAAAATTCTATATAAAGTCCAGTGAATACATTTTTTCTTTTTTCTTTTCAGCATGAATGTACGCCCAGCAAGGACTTTACCAGAGGTAAAACACAAAAGTTACATCCTAAATGCAAAAATGTAAACTTTATTTGCCCTTGGGGTAGCCATTGTTCAATAAATATGCTCAATGTATTTTATTTGTGGTTTGTGGTTTGATATCACATGTCAACTGTGAGGTACCCCAGAATATAAATCTTCCAGTCAAGCAACCCTACAGGCTATTAAATATAAGCGACAATATTATTGCGCTGCGAGAACCTGGGGATTGACGTGCTACTTTTGAATACAGACAGATTTGCTGAAAGGCAGGAAGGGTAATCACACCAAATGTAATGGTTTCTAAAATGAAATTGTTCCCATATTACTGCAAATCAGACTGAGATACAGGTGGCTGTTACTGGAGGGCTCAAAGATTTGTCAGCAACAGGTGGCCCAGCGGAGTTACAGAAGTAATAAAGCAATCAAAATCACATAAGGCCATGGCATATTGTTAAAGTGCAGAGCAGACTCTCTTCCCATAGTGTAATTAAATATTCAGAAGGTTAGACTTTTCATCTAATATTCCATAATTCACACAGTAGTTTAAATGTTACTGCACAGTGGGTAAAAAGTTCAAGTCTGTAAGTGAATTTTTTCAATACGCTTTATTGCACCAAAGTAATATAAAGCCGCAAATAAATGAATAACGATTTAGAATATGGGAACCCGTAGAAACAGTTATGCTAGCTATTTATAAGTCCCCCATAACTGTGCATCATCTTATATGCTCCTTATAATGCAAAATAGAGAGGATTAATATAAAGTGTTGTCCTAAAGAAACTATCTGGATGGACAGATGGATGCATCCAGATACAAAGTGAATAGCAAGTCTCAACAATACTCCCACCAGTCATTTGACAGGTATGAATCTGTAGACATACGTACGCGGAATGAAACTTAAAGCGACTGTTTTTATTGCTGGGAAGACTTGAATAAGAAACAAAGTTGATAAAAAAAATCAAAAATGAAAACTAGAAGCTAATAACAACTAAGAAACACAAGGAAAACAAACCAGAACAGGAACTTTGAACTAGAATTAAGCCAGGAACACGAAGTGAGAAAACACAGCACAGAGAGAAACAACTAACAGAGAGAAACACACAAATACACAAGCAGTACAACGAGAGGATGGGGAACAGGCGGTAACACAGCTGGGACAAATCAGACCTAAAGAGACAAGGGGAAGCACAACCAGACACACTGCATACAGGACAGGGCCTATCAAAATAAAACAGGAAACACACGACAGGCGCTGACGAGACACTGAACAGAGGGAACACGGAGCACAGGGACAGGGACAGGAGTAACAAACTACGACATGAGACACGACTGACTGGTGCAGCAAGAAAATAAACATGAAGACAGAACTAAACCTATACTAATTAACCTACATGAGGGGCAAAGGAACAAAACCCAAGAACTAAAAATCACAAAGCAAAGAAGAACTAGAGAAATACAGAACTATAAACCAAAAGACTAGTAATGATAAACCATGATGAACTCAAATATTAATAATAACACAGAACACAATACACTGGGTCACCGACCCAGGACCGTGACAATATTATTTTAATCATTGGTATGGGAGCAAAAACACCAAAAAGAAATACAACACAAGGGATAGAATTTCTTCAACAATGATGGAGTAGGTAGTCATAGATTTTAAATAAACAAAAGTACTGATATTGCTACACAAAAATACAACATCACAAGATGATGTTGTGCATTAAATTGTAATTAAGTAAGTTTAAGGAGATTAAATAAATGGCTATCAAAAGTACACACTGGTCTGAAAACAGGCTCCTATATTTGGGAGGTTTTTTGTTTTTTTTACTTTACCACAGGTCGAGCCAGTGCAACAGATTGCGAAAGATATAAGAAGTATCTGAGCTCTCCACCACTAAATGAGAAGTATTTTTTATATTTGGTGTTGTTGTTCAGCACTTTGGTCAGCCTTGTTGTTTTTAAAAGTACTTTATAAATAAAGCACTGGTATAGTATAGTAAGTGAGGAATAATATAATGAATTGCTCGACTGGTTTCCATTTTTAAAATAAACTGTAGACAGACGTTATAAGTGAACTTTTTTTCTGCGCACTTCCTCTAACAGGTCTCTGCGCGCCCCGGATGACGCCTTCCTCTTTTACGCCGCGCGCTCCCGTCCTCTTACGCTGAGCGCTGTGACATTCCTCCCGGTCTCACGTGTTTTGTGTGTATAAAAGGGTCCCAGTCTCGCCTCATTATGTCTAGCGGGTCACCAGACAAACGGCGAAAGATGGAGTCAGCGCTGAACCAGCTGAAGAAGCACACTGTGGTGGTGGCAGACACGGGAGACTTCAACGGTAAAACCCGTTTTATCCCATGCTAACGTTAGCTGGTTAGCATGCTAACTTAGTGACAAGGAAGGATCCAGCGTTGAAGTGAATGACCGCGGTGGTGACGATGTCATGAAGTGGGTGTGAGCATCGAAGTAACTGTGTTTAGTTAGCCAGCTAACGTTAGCTATATAACTGTTTCATGTCAGTTGGAAATTAGTTTTCCGGTTAACTACTGAAGTAGATGATCCTATTACTGGCTATTAACGTTACTTAACAGTATCTACGTACTATTAGCTGCACTAGCAAACAATGCAAACTGAATAATAACACACCTCTCTTTTATTCTAATAAAAATGCTGTTATCTTTATATAATAGAATATGTGTGCGGTGTGAACGCAAATTGATTAGGCAAACCAAAGTTGCAGACTACTGTGTGCACATTGCCTGTGTAAGTGGTTGTAAAATCAGATTATCCTTCCTCGTTTGTCCAGTTCTTGTAACAGAGGTGAAGCTCCTGTTTCTCAATAGGTCAGAATGAGGAACAGGGCTGGGCAAAAATATTAGATTTACACTGTGATGCAAAACCAGATGGTTCGTCGTGCGCAGCCTGCACAGTCAGGATGACACGACAGAACTGGACTCATGTTGCCAGGCATGACTCTGGAAAGCTGATACTCCCAGATCCGTATACTTTTTATTTCTTTAGCCTTTTGCTGAACTATAAACTTAGTTTATTGCCTGTAATTTAAACAAATATGTTTTTCAATGCCTCCATAATAAGAATGGGCATAACAAAAATGCTATGCAATCCAGTCCAGTCCATTTATGTTAAAATTGGAGTTTTACCAAGAATTGGTCTGTGGAGAGAACAGTAAGAAGGCTTTGGCTTTAAGTATATATTAATCTGATAATCACCAGTTATTCATAGTTGTCTGTACTTTTAGATTTAATTGTACTTTGAGAAGTATGTATTTTTCCTAGTACAGTTTGCAGATGATTTACAGCAGGAGTGTCACGTTTCACTGGTCTGTTGAGGCAACAGTTGTGATTTGATGCTATATAAGTGAAATTGAATCGAAATGGTCTGACCCACTTTAAGATCAAAGTGGGCTGTATGTGGCCCATGCTATGAAATGGGTTTGACATCCCTGCTTTACAGGAAGAATAATGTAACCCAGCAGTTTGTACTAGCAGGAGTAAAAAAAAAAAGTTGAAGAGCAAGAATTTTCCAGAAAGAAGCAGATACTTTTTGTGATCAGCTGTCTCTGTCACACAATGCTGATATACACATGCTAATCTTGACTGCTGTGAATACTTCTGTCACTACCACCATCAATAAAAAAACAAAGATGTTTGGCAGAGGGTTGCGATAAGAGAAGTGGTCAGTCGAGATTTGCCCAACAGCTCATCTGTCTTTATGAAATGCATTTCTCGTCTTTCACCTGTTGCAAGTTTAGACATGCGTGTTGCAAGACCAGGTCAAGCAGAAACATGTTTGTTTTCACATGAAGACATGGTGAAACGCAGTTAACCAACACAGTTTTGCTTAATTTAATGAAGTGAGGGGATAAAAAGTTCTCAGCAGTGGACTAAAAGTTAGTGGAGGTTGCTCTTATGAAATTTGGCTACTTGTTAACTAATTAGCCGGCATGAATATTGACGTTTTAAAGGAAAACGTGCATTTTGTTAGGGGTCTTCTATTGAACAAAGACTCAAAAGTTTACATAAGAAATATGTGATTTGTCTACCAGGGTCAATACAGACTTTGAGTTGACATTGTGATCAAGGCAGTAATGTTTATGTATTTGCAGGTAGGTTATGGATATATGTTTAGTGTACAAACTTGTCTTTATGCACACAACATTTTAACTTACCAGTCAAATTAAACGCATTCACTGATTTAAAACAATGTTTTTATTTTCTTATGCTGTGGGTAATTAGATGTGATCTCATGTACTTTTAAATGTCCCTCACCTACCAAGTCATGCAAGTGCCATCATCAGTTTATTTGGTGGAACTCTGAAGTATAGTGTGTGTAAATGTAATTACACTGGCATATATACACAGTCTTGTTTATGATAAAAATTTATGTCGAAACTTCACTGTATTTTACCTTTGGCAGTGGAAGTTTTTTGGATTCCTTTTTTTTTATGTCAAACCTTAAGTATTGGGTATGTTGTCATAATCAGCAGTACTTGAGCAGTTGATGACGAGTGTCCAGTTCAGACCCGCTGACCTGTAGAAGGAGGGGGTTGAGAGATAACGTGCAACAGGACAGACACAGCCTTTGTTCTGTGGATGAAGAGTTGGCAGCTCTGACTGAACCATGCTGCTACTATTCAGTGCTGACATAAAACCCCTGTAGTGTGTGAAAAGGCCCCACCACTCATGCATTTCAAATAAAATTTCTGTCCTGTGAACTGCAACAGGTTGTTTTCTTTAAGGCCTGTAGACTATTATATATTATTATTATATACCTTGTGACTTATTGTTATGCATCAAAGACGTTAGGTTCTTTTAATTTATTGTAACGTTTTTGGAATTGTAGTAATTTGATGTTTTGCCACTAAAGATTTCATTAGTTGAATATTAATTATTAGATTAGGTTTGCACAACAGCCCTGCAGTATATTGGCAACCTGTCCAGGGTGTACTCTGCCCTATGCTTGGCCTGGTACAATTAAATAAAGTCTTATTCAATGTAGAATATAAAAATAACAAAAATCAGTTTTCTCTTCGTTTTCTTTTTGGAGACTGTACATGTTTGCACAGTAGATGGCACCATTTTCTACCTGCAGGTAGCAGTATGTTGGTTCAGCATGAGTGAGTTATTTTCTTGTTCTGTCAGTTCTTTTAGTCCTCTTTAACACTGATATGAATTTTAGTTGAAAATAAGGAAGATCTAAACTATAGTTGTTTAGTGGGATAACCAGTCTTAACTGTGCTATTCACACACACAAATACACGTGTCCTTGTTGCACTACACTGTGTCTTTGTTGGCAGGTCCTAGCTGTTACTCCTGATGGCCTAGCTTGGGAGTTGAAATATAAATTTGTATGGCAGGTTTGGGTATGGCAACAGAAAACTATTGTTTTTAATATAGATCTGATGTGTGGAAAGGCTGGTGTTTATATAAGGTAATAAATTAATTATTAAGCACAGCAGCCAAGAGTTTCTTGTCCTTCTGTTTTGCCCCATATGATCCTGAGAACATTTCCAGGTAAAATGTGTCCATAGGCCTTTAGGTTTAATTATACGTTGTAAGCTAAGGTGGTGGAATATTTAAAATAATGTTTTTTGCTTCATGTATTATTTAGCAAACTTTATTACCATTAGATATGTAATCCATGTATTGGCCATCAGTGGTACAGTTTGCAGGTAAGTTGGTGGGTACTTTCAGTTGCATCATTATTTCCCCAGGGGTCGCCACAGTAGATGGATCCACATGTTGATTTCAAACAGATTTAAAAAAACAAACAAACACAAAATTAAAACACCACATGCTCTTCCTGACACAACTTTGATTTTTCAAGGTTCAGGACCAACACCAGTACAGTAGGTTGTGCCCTCCATCCTCAGGCTGTATTTTTGGGTCACCTTCTGACTTCAAACCAGGGCTCTTTCATGTGTTAGATGAATGTGTTAACCACTGTACCGAAAAGGCATTGCTTTTAGTCACTCAGCAGCAGTCTTTAAAGGGCTACCAATTAGCATAGCATTATTTCAGAAAGGGCTGCGTCTGAAACACCATCCCCCCTGCAGTCAATGCTGTGTTTGTTTTGTTATGTTTCATCTGTAATTTATTATTGCAGATTAAACATATTTAATATATTTAAAAACATGGTTGGTACCTCTCTGTACTCCTGCTTTAATCTAGCCTGGCTAACGGGGTGTTTATGTGACTGAACTGTTTTGATCTGTGTTCCAATACGGCAGCCATTGACGAATACAAGCCTCAAGATGCAACCACCAACCCATCTCTTATCCTGGCTGCTGCTAAGATGCCAGCCTACCAGCAGCTGGTGGATCAGGCCATCAAGTATGGCATGGCCAAGGGCGGGTAAGTACAGTGCACAAATGGGTCAAACACACTGTGGCTAAACTGTCCTTTAGTTAAATAGATGTTGGACTACACTGGGGGATATTTTGTGCCTCTTAGATGTCTGCACATTACACAGCTCGTCTGTGGAAGCTCTCGGGACATTCCTTAATTTACAGCAGTGAATCTAATACAATGTGCATCTTTTCTGCTTAAACCTGATATCTGATGGATTTTTTTTTTTTTTTCTTTCATATGTTGTCGATTCATGTGGCATGGAGTTTAATTAGACATTACACACTAAATTAATCAGATTTTGTGAGGCTCAGTTGTTTAATTTCCTGTGGACTAAAAAACAACATGTCATTGTTCTCATGCCGATAAAGTTTTAGTATTTTAAAAACACCTTTCGTGCCTCTTGGAAAATATGATGGGTGATAGGAAGCACGTTTGTCTTGATTTCCCAAAGCTACATGGTAAACTGAAACACTGTGTGAACAGAACATGTTAAAAACATAGTAAACACCTAGACCAGTAGTCTATAATTTTACTAATGTGGACTTCTCAGCCATTGTGTAATGTGTTCTAAAATTAAACATTTTGAAGAAATGCTGATTGGTTTTCTGACTTGTTGTCATTGTAACTGAAACGTGGAGATGGTCAGCCTTTTTGTCTCTGTCTCCATTAAGAACCGAAGAGGAGCAGGTAGCAAACACCATGGACAAGCTGTTTGTGAGTTTTGGGCTTGAGATCCTCAAGAAGGTCCCAGGCAGAGTCTCAACTGAAGTGGATGCCAGGTATATGCAAACCTATAACAAAGTGCTATTAATGACACAAGATGTGAAGTGTTTACTGGCTTGAGCTTTTCAAATCTACACAGTAGACAAAGAGAAACTTTAAACAATAAGGCAAATTTTAGAGGAGTTTCAGATAAGATGCCATTCTTGCACAAAAACCTTTTATTAGAGGGCAGCACATAAGTGTTTCCTAATATATTAGTGTCATTCAGAGCATTGGGGAATATTTAAGAGCCTGAAATTGGAGATTTTAACCACTTTCTTGTTGTTGTTTTTTAACCAGCAGCTAAGTTGTGTTATTGATAATAAACAACTGGTAGAAGCTAATTAACTTTCTCTGAGAAATACAAATTGATTTAGCAAACTCTTATCATTTATGTGTTCTCTGTAAAACCAATGGGGGGGGGGGGAGTACCTGAATAGTGAACTGATTGAGCTACAGAGGATGGCATTTATAGCAATCTCTTAAAAGCTGTTTACCATTTAACTTGTTGTCACAGGAAACACAGACGCAAAACAATTAAAGCAAAGAATACTTGCTCTTAGATTTTAAAATGCCAAACAGCTGTGTTGGTTCTCATTTATGTCACAGGTTGTCTTTTGATAAACATGAAATGGTTGCAAAAGCCCTGAAGCTCATTGCACTTTATGAAGAGGCAGGCATTAGCAAGGAACGCGTACTCATCAAGCTGTCATCAACATGGGAAGGAATCCAAGCTGGGAAGTGAGTATGAAGTGTGCTATACTCTCGGATGCTGCACTTGCGTACGTGTGAGTGTATTTCATTTTGAAAGCATAAAGTCTTCTAGAGAAGGAGCAGCTTTCTTTTTCAGTCCTGTTACTGATAAAGACCCCAACATATATGAGCCCTTTAACTGACCTCAGATTAAGCTCTGCTTTCCAATATTTGTTAAATGAATTATAGCAAACATGTAATGGAACATCAAAACACGTTCGCATAAAATCACAGCTGCTGTATTTCACTGGTCAGTCACGTCTGTGTTTACTTCTCCCCACAAACAGGAGCACATGCAGCATGAGTGCGATAACAGCTACTCAGCAAGTGTGAAACCCAGCAAACAACCACTATTTTCTGTTAAATCAGCACATTTTGTTGTAAACAAGAACATGATGTAGCTTTTACTCTGGCAAAATGGCTGCTCATATCTGGTGCGACCCACAGGCTAGAAAACAAAGTGAAAGAAAGAAACCCCTCAGAAGTCAGTGGGCTAAAGAACAACTTGTTAGTGTTTTCATGATGATCTTGAGCTTGGCCCTTTGAGAAGATGTTTGAAATGGGAGCTGGTATAACATTGTGTGTAACTTATTTCTGTTATTAATGTGTTCTAAAAAAAAAAAAAAAATTGTTTGTTTTGCTTGTTTGTTCAGGGAGCTTGAGGAGAAGCATGGTGTTCACTGCAACATGACGCTGCTGTTCTCTTTCGCTCAGGCCGTAGCCTGTGCCGAAGCAAAGGTAACACTTATATCACCCTTCGTTGGACGCATCCTTGACTGGTATAAGGAGAATACAGATCGCAAAAGCTACGAGCCACATGAAGATCCAGGTAAAAACACTGCAGTTATGAGACGATATTGTCAGTCACCAGTTTATTCGATACACATGGCTAAAACGGACTTGCAGTAAATCTTGTGTTTTACTTTATCCATTGACTGTATCATTCTGTGGTTGCTTGTGTTAGAACCACAACAGCATCACGAAGCTATTCAGTGAAAAGAAATGTTTAATCACAACTCTGCTCGTCAGATGAGCTGAGAACGGTTTGCTTTGTGGGTGGATGTGCATCATATCCCTTCTTCTGCATAATTGTTTTCTCACAGTTTAAAAACAGAGCTAATAGAGATAATGTGTTTAAAAAGAGGTGTAATTTAAAATAAATGAAACTTCGTTAAAGCTTCTGCAAGTGGATTACAAATTACTGAAGAAAATGGTCAGAGACACAGCAGCTCGATTATAATGCATGTGCTCAGTGTTGCTTTAGCTTTGTGGCAGTGCCAGATGATATGCAGTTAGGGAAAAGCATTTATACAGGTGTTAGTAAGTGGATGAGACATTGATTAAATTATAACTTCTACAGTGACACTGTGTGACAGCTTACCTGTCTGAGGTAAAGAATGTGATTTGATGTTTGGATCGATCACCTCTGCTCTGGGATAATTAATTAATGTAATTACAGTTTCTGATGTTGCAGGTGTATTGTGTAATATAATGAGTCAGCCATGTAACTGAAAACTGGATTGATTGACACCATTACCTTAAAAATCAAACTGCTACAACAGTTGTATCTTGATCAATTGGTGACCTCTTCTTCTTTGGTTGTGTATTTCTTCTTCTCAGGTGTGGTGAGTGTGACCAAGATTTACAACTACTACAAGAAGTTTGGCTATAGCACTGTTGTGATGGGGGCCTCCTTTAGAAACACAGGGGAAGTGAAAGCCCTTGCAGGCTGTGACCTGCTCACAATCTCCCCCGGTCTGCTGGCAGAGCTCAGCCAGGATCACAGTGCTGTCACGGAGATGCTCAGTGTGGAGAAAGGTACTGCTCTCTGACTGAAAAGATGCAGAATATTGCTCTCTGAAGTAATTTTGCCAGTTGTGTGTTAATTATGTTAGGGTGGATTAAAATCTGGCTAGAGTACATTCTGTGCTACTGATGAGAACAATGTGGTTCTCACACCCATTTAATTTGCATGCACACATGTTTTTGTTATTACAAGACATTTGCTTGTCAACAGAAAGGGTGTTTGCTCTGTGAACCACACTCATTAGTGACATTCCACTAAACTCTAGTCACCTTATCTAAGAACTAAACAGACCTAAAAATGCACTTTGGGGTTTTTTGGACCAGTCACAAGTCTGCCAACACATGCCATCTTTTCTGGAGAGTTTCACCTAACCATTTAAAACAGATTAAAAGGTCAGAAGCACAAGCTTTGTGTTAAAAATATTTTCTATTGCTCTGTACAAGTAGGACTTGTTTAATTATTTTCTGGTTTATGTTTCCCCAAAACCTAGGGACACTTTCCTAATGCAGAGAAGAGTATTCTAGATGCATCAGGACAGCTTTTGATTGAAATCTGTAAGCAGCCTCTCTCTGCTGCCACATTGAATCTGATGTTTTTGATTTTTGCAGCCAAGGCCTGTGATCTGGAGAAGGTCCACCTGGATGAGAAGACTTTCCGCTGGGAGCACAACGAGGACCGCATGGGTGTGGAGAAACTGTCTGACGGCATCCGCAAGTTTGCTGCTGACGCTGTGAAGCTGGAGACCATGATCAAAGTAAGCTTGTTTGATTAAACAAATAAATATTACACATGCATTATGCTGTCTGCCTAAGCTATCTCCAAGTTATCCTTTTTCTTGATACTATTTTATTTTGTTTTTTTTCCTCTCTGAAGGAGAAAATTCTGAGTGTGAAGAACGGGCAGTAATTGAAACACATGTGGTGTCTCTTGCCCTGTGACAAGAGGTATGCGGAATTGGGGACCAAGGCAGTTAAGAAGGTTAACTCCTTCTTAAAAGATCCAAAGCAACGGTGGGCCTTCCCCTCCTCATCTGATCAAACTCCAGGGATCCTTCTCCCAAATGAAAACCTTTCCTCTCGTGGGCTGGTACTGACCAACAAGCTTGTTTATAAAATTGTCTGATTATTAACAGAAATTTTTACCTGAAAGGAAAAAATAAACCGCTTCATTGAAAAGATGTTATGAGGCTTAACCAAGTCTCTGTGAATGATGTCATGTGACTACTAGAAGGGAACATGGATGCTTTTTTTTTGTTTGTTTGTTTGTTTGGGGTTTTTTGGCAAGACAGGACCACAATTTTGGTACTAATTTTATTTTTTGCCCATGACCATGTAACAATTACATTTCTACCAATCATTCCTCCTAATATTTGATCTTTCAATAAAAAAGCATCTCAGTCTTCAGAGTTGTGTTATTTTGTGTGTTTGTTTGTTTTTTTTTCTTTTTGGTTTTTCTCTTGCTGTCTTTAATATAAAAGACTGCAGAAGGTGTCATATATACGGGGAAGGCGTACCTCATGCAGTGCACAATAATCAGAGCTTGGTCACTTCAGTTACGCTTCTCTTGGCATGCGGTAATTTTCATGTTCTTTAGAAGCTCTGGTTGAACCAGTTCAACTTCATTCTGTCGTCGCTCAAATTTAGTTTGCTTGCATCTCAGCGCTCAAGACTGTATAGAAAGAGAGTGGAGGCTGTAAGCTCCTAAGTTGGACTTTGGAAAATGAAGAACTGACGACTGATTACGGTAAAAATATATCTTCCTTGTCTGACATTTTCATTTCAGAGTGTGCGCGTTTTCTATATCTGGCTTTTATTCTGTGGAGGTTTCAGGGCAGAGCTGCCTGAGTAATTCTGGCCTGTGACTGGAGTTTCATTTGTTATTCACCAACATTTAGAAACCTGATACTTTTTAACAGCATACAGTTCAGAAGTTTACCTACATTCAGCATGGGCATGAATGTCATGGTTATTTGGGCTTTTAGTTAAGTTTTTGTTTCCCAGGATTGTACAGGTTACATTTAATTTCACTTTAAAAAACAGTAATTGGATGTAAAAGTTTTAATTGATTTTGGATTTTCTGTCATCAACACTGTGAAGAGCATACATACAGGCTCAGATACACTCAGATCTTTTAAAGGTTCTCCAGTGTCTTTTGACTTGGCTAGCCCAAGAACTTTGGCTTCTCATTGTGTAAACTTTATGTAGAGGTGCTCAGAGAAATGTATATTTAGCCGGTGTAGCACATTATAGTCTGCTGCCATGTCTCAAAGCAGTTGCATAGTGCAGTTCACTACCTGGACAAGTTTGACTGGAAAAGACCTAAATATTTTCCACGGGACACAAGATTTAAGTTGATTGTAATGTCTTATGTTTTCATTACATACACCTGTCAGTATAAAAATCAGTTCTTTTTTTTCCAAGTCAGTTTGCCTCACAATATCTTTGACAAACATGGATCCAGCTCACTGGATATATGTGGACTAAAAAGAAGAGCATACATTTTTGGACTTTTGTGTGTTTTCTCATTAGTTTTCCCTTCTTACTGACAAATAACCCTCTCAAGCACCAAAGTATGAAAATATTAGTTAATAGTTAATTAATATTACTACTGATGGCTTTCTTTGTAGTCAGCAGCATTTCTTCACATATTGGAAAAACTGAGATGCATCTTTAAAAAAGATTTTCTGAAGATACCTCAGGGTTTAAATGTGTAGCTTAATCTTTATCCTGGAAATAAAAGAAACTTTAAAAACAAGAAAACTGTTTATTGATAGGCAATAGCTTTACTGGTCGGGCCCACTTTGAATGAAACTGGGCTCTATGTGCTCCATGATGTAAGATGAGTTGACATCTCTGATTTAGATTCTAAAACTAGAAAATCTGTCACAGAGCCTTTTAAAAGAATGGAAATAAAGATATACACCATAATATGTTGAACTATTTCTCCAGAACAGATTTTTATCACACCATGGACTTTTAAGTACAAAAGCAATGCCCCACTTTGCACACAGACATCACAAACAAATAAAAAATTTAAAAAAACCTCCTGTCATTAGAACATTAGTGAAGCTCAGAAAAAAAGCTAAATAACGCAAGTCACTACCAGCCACTTTCCCCTCCGTGGCCACTGCCTGCAGGTATTGCTGCTTAAGAGATGACGCCGCTGCCTTTGAGCCTCCAGCTTTAGGTTCTTATTAACAATTCATGTATTAAAAACACCGCCAAACCATGCTGCTCCCACCAACCATGTTTCATGTCAGGAAAGAGTTTTTGATGTGAATCTGTAGTACTGTTTTACATCCAGACATCGTGTTTTGCATTTTTGTATCGATACAAGTCATTTTTTATTACTTAATTCTTTCATTTTGTCCCACCATTCTTATTTAGGGTTTTGCACATGGTGGGCATATGTTTGCTGGCTGTTTTATACTGTTGCCACACTTTTCAGTGTTAAGAAGATTTATTCTGCTATGATGGGTGGAACCTAAGAATTTAAAATTTGTTCCTTTTTTCCATTGTATTTATTTATTTGATTGATTGATTGATTGATTGATCTATCGGGTTGTCATTTATGATTTCCAGAGGTTGTTTGCTGTTGTCCTCAGGTTCTTGTGCCCCTCTCTGAGGATTACTTATTGTGATTGGTGGGGGATTCCCAAGTGCAGAAACAGCAGGTATGTCACGGTCTTTTCATTTTGATGGCACTTAAGATCATAATTATTCCACAAAAACTGCAGGTGTTTTCTAATTTGTGACTGACAAAATGGTTTCTATTCAAGTGAGTTTTGATACGAGGTTGATGTTTCACTCTTCAACCTGTCAAACTTTTATAATGTGGTATTACACACCTTGAATTGCAGAGCCGCCAGTTACAATATCATTATTAAATCATAAATAATATAGTGAGAGATTCCGTAGTATCATCTCTCACTATCCTGTCAGATATATAACGACAGCCTTGTTTCAGAAAGACAATGCGGGATCAGTGTTGAATTGACTTTAAAAGTCAAATTTACTTGACGTGTAGTGTAGATAAAACAGGATTCAGGGCGGGGGGGTGTTGCGGCTAATGAAAAGTGAGTTAGTGCTCTGACTCTTGACTACTTCACCTTCCTGTCTTTGTATTTTCCAAAGGTTCAGACTCGCTCCTTGCCTGAGAAGCTGAGATGCTGGACAGATTCAAGATGCATATGTTATTGCTGGGCCTGGCTCTGTTGATGCTGGGCTTGGCCTCTGACGCCTCTTCTCTTGGCCTGACTGTGCATGTTGTGCCCCTGGACAGTGATGGAGGAAAAACAGTGAGCAACATTTTCCCTCTTTAATTTTTTTTTCAGAGTCCTAAAAACCAAGATCTCCCCACTCTCAGCTGTTCCTAATTATACATTTTTACTATCACATTTTAGTCGTGTGTTGAGATTTTCATAAACTCTAAATTATAGCAGGAAACTAATAAAAGACATTTTCCATGATTCATAAACCATATTATTTTATGCCTCAGCATTATTATTCATTAGAATTATTTATCAAAACTGTGCTTCTATAATTTTACTTTACTAAAATTATACTTTCCTTGAAATATCCTAATAAACGTGTTTACCACTCAATTAGTTAAAACGTTTCAGGATTCACTGCAAGAACAAAAAAACATTAAAATTGACATGCTTCAACGTAAACCCTTCCCCTTCTTTCTTTATTTTAGTTGCTACTTACTTATGTGTGCAAATAATTGATTCTTTTAATTCTACAAAACAAATTCAGTGTCAGTCATTGTGTAGTGTGTTTGGTCTGTTGTAATCTTTTGGGCATTCTTCTATGCAGTCCTGTCAGCTGTGTACGTCTTAATTACTCATGGCTCCATCTAGCCTCAAAAACGAACCCTTACTTTCATATAGATTTAATAGCTGAACTAAGGATAATGTTGATATTGTTGTTTTTTTCATAGTTGTTGTCTCCCATTGTTACATCACACTGGGCCACAAACATCCCATAAATTAGTTCTTCAACCCAAATTCAGTTATTTTTAGTTGTTTCATTCAGTTGATGGGAATAGCAGTGTAGCATCCTACTAATACTCAACTTTAGTGGGTAAAATAAAAGTAACAAATACTTTATTTATCCCAAAAGGTACGCTTACTAATAACTGTCAATTAATAGTCAACATACTAGCTGTGTGGGTCTCAGATTGATATTTGGTGCCTGATGAACTACATGCAAATGTTTGTAATGTTTGTTTAGTGCAGACATGAGGGAGTTTGTCTCTTTACTTCTTGCAGGTGCGGGCTCATTTCACTGTCATTGCTCCTAGTCCTTGTCCATCTTTGTCTGGACTCTGTGCTCCAGGAGAGGACTGTCTAGTCCACACCACCCCGTTACCTTTCACTGGGACCAAACCCTCTGACTGGTGTGTCCGCCAGTGGCAGAAAACTGTCCCCAGTGACTACAGAGCTACCATCAGTTTAGGGTATGAGACCTACAATGCGAATACCCTTGACCTCAGACATGCTAAATTTTGTATATTAATTTTTACATTTTAAGTGTCAGCTCCATTTTTCATCTTTTTAAAAGAACTTTGCGCAGTCTATTTGGAAATAACTCTGAGATTATTCCAAGTGACATTGTTTTGTTTTGTTTTGTTTCTTAGACAACTATGGAGGACTTTTATTTGTATTTATTTTTTTGTTCTACTAGATCAGCTTTGCATAATTCAGAGGTTTTTTTTGATTTGTTGCCCCTCGCAACAAAGAATGGGCGAAGCTGGGGCTTCTATGGTCCCAGCGAGAGGTTTGTGCTTGAAATAACCACATTAGTGATATCCCACAACATCTGAAATCATAAAGAGCTAAGAGTACACAAAAGCATTTAAAATTGACTATTTCAAGCAGTCTGGAGCCCAAACAAACTGACTTATGATTCTTCAGTCCTGTGCGAATCAAACCGTTTGCTATGAAGCATTGTATTTACTATCTGTGACAAGATCAATGATGTTATTTGTTAAATTAAAGGAAGAAGCCATTAATACAGTTGTTTTTTTTTTACTGTTTTAGGTCCAGAACAGAATTTTTTGTGTCTATAAATGCAGGACCAGTGATCCGGGCAAACAGCGGGAGACTCAACCACCCTGCTTTTGTGGCTCTCCCTCCTCCACTAAGGTAGTGTAAACAACTACTCTCTGCTCTCCTTCCTCCCGACTCCTGTATTCAGACATGAGCTGAATTTGTGTTAATTAAATTAAGGACATTTAAGCGGTCATAAAGAGATATAAGCTACATATATCTGAACAAAGATCCATATAAGATTTTACATGAAATAGAGTTTTAAAATTTCACTTGGTTATTCGGATGATTTAAATCTGAGTGTAATCTTTTTTTTGTTGTTAAAAAGTCCATGTGAAATCAGAGTGAAGCCTGAGTCTGCAGGTTTATGCGATCAGTTTCCGCTGATTTGTCTATCTGTTACTCATGCTCACCACTCGCAGTGGCTTTTTCAGCTCCAAAAGCCAGCTGTTGCTGGAGGCCAAGTTTAAGATCACCTACCAAACAGGCGTCACCAAAGAGGCAGCACTTTGAGAGCTTATTGACGTCAGCCAAAGTCTTTGCTTCTCAAAGACTTCTTCAGAGTGATGCCTTGCCCTTCAGCTGTACAGACTGCACCAAATCCACTTTCATTTTTGTTTTCTCTCTTGTTGTGATTTATGATTCAAGAAGCTGATTATCTCTTTGTCTGCATGCCACCAATATTTCTTGTTCTGTGAGAACAGGGCCAGTGTGAACTGTCCTCACGACATCCATCTGTCAGTGAAAGACTTGGATGGGGACAAGGTTCGATGTCGATTTGCCAGTTCTGACAAGGGAGAGTGTGTCAGCTGCACCCAGCACTCTTTCATAGAGCTGGATGGGGTGAGTTGTATTTCACGAGTTCGAGGCTTTATTATTGTAGGCCCTAAAATCTATTTTATTCTTAATTAAAAACATATTTTACTATTTTAAAGATGATTACAATTAAACATAAGTGCGGATTAGACTAACATAAATATTTAAATATGTTCAGCACCAACCAACACCCAACCCACTCCATCTTTGGGGTTTCATCAGGACAGAAATCTGGCGTAAAACTCTGCCAAATCAAACATGTGGAAATACCTGCTGTGGTGAATGGTGTGTCTTAAATTTGTGAAGAAACCCCCCCAAAAAACCAGGGGAAAAAGGCAAATCTCAGCTATGGTGAAAAAAGAAAGGCTAGACAAAGAGGTTGCAGGTGAGCTGGGAGGAGCTGTAGGTCACATACTGGTAAGGGGAAAGTAAACAGCAGGAAGTGTTAGACTGAAATGACAAAAGCACAGTGTACACAGTGAAAGAACAAAACATGTAACTATGACAGTGACGTAGAGCATAAAAGTATAAAGTAGCTTAAAATTTAAACACAGTAATAAAATATTTTACATCCTTGCTCTTTAACAGAATTTTATCTATCGCTTCCTTTACCCAAAGTAATCTACCTCCTCCCACCAATGAGACTCTGGAATTCTCATTGCCCATAATGTCAAAGCTATTCTACGGCTGAAGCGTGTTGAAGACATCAGCTCACTCTGTACTAGCAGAAGTCAGCCTTTCCAGTAATCACATTCCAGTTAATTTGGAAATGCAACTGAATTCTCTTTGGTCTTTGATCAGTGAAATAGTTTCCAAAGTAAATTATACTTAATTATAATTATACTTAATTATACAATGGTGCTTAAAAGCACCATTGTATAATATCATTTGCATACAGTCTGGAAACAAGTTTAACCACTCAGTTTTTTTTGTTGTTTGTTTGTTTTGCCTTGTATTGATGTCATTTACAGTCAAACATTGCCCACACATACCATTGTGGAACTTGTTCATCTCTGTTGTTGACATTGTTTCATTCTTTTACCAGGAGAAATGCATTTTGTCCTTCACTGGACAGGCACCTGCAGGACAGTATTTTATTTACCTGATGGTGGAGGACCTGATTCCTTCGCCCAGAGTAAACCATGCCACAGATCTGCCCCTCAGCTCTGTCCCTGTCCATCTCTCTCTAACTGGTGAGGCTGACAATCGCTTAGATGACATTTTGGTTCAAGTATAGAGAATAATAATTGCGCTTTCTCTCATCATCTGCCAAAATGAAAATAATAATTTTACCAGATTAATAATAACTTATAGCATAATGTAATAAATGGTTTCATTTTGTCTTTCCAGTGGAAGAGTCATATTTTAGGTGCTCTGATGAACCAGTGGCCATAGACAGGACCCCAAAAGATGACTCTGTACTGTTTGTTCTGCCGTACCAGGAGGAGAAAATCAACACTGACTATAGGTCGGAGGAGGAGAGGTGAGTCCTGGTGGCTCTTCCTTTGCCATCCCTCCCACTGCTTTTTAAACATCCCAACATGGTTTATTCTTTTATTTTCTGTTGCTGTTGCTGCATTTTTGCTGCGTATGCATGTATAGGTATGTACATATGTACATGTACATATATACTTGTATAGAAAAGTTATATAAGAGTCTGCTTGTGTGTGCATATATATGGATGTCTGTGAAGGTTCTCAGTCATCCAGGTCATCGTAGTCAAAGGAGCTTGCAAAGAAAAGCGTCTGGACTTCTTTAAGTTGCTTGAAGACGTTTCACCTCTCATCCGAGAAGCTCTTCAGATTTAATCTGGGACTCTGGCGGGGAGTCCCAGATTAAATCTGAAGAAGCTTCTCGGATGAGAGGTGAAACGTCTTCAAGCAACTTAAAGAAGTCCAGACGCTTTTCTTTGCAAGCTCCTTTGACCATATATATGGATGTTTTGTAATCTTTTTTACCTCATTTATTTGAATTTTTTCTTTTATTTGATTACATTACCCCTCTGTTCAGCACTTTGGCCAACACTTGATGTCTTTTAAACATGCTATACAAATAAAGCTGACTTGTTGTGCAAAAAAAAAAAACCCAGTCTGCATATTGAAAAGCAGACCTCTGTTTTAAAGAATTACAACAGGGGACTGAAAACGGTAGCGTGTGTGTGTGTCAAGTAAGCACATTTTATATAGTACATGTAAAACCAAAGTGCTTTAGACTAAAATAAAATAAAATGATTTCATTTAAACTCATTTGATTTCATTTAGATTTTCCATGTAATTTTATCACATAAGTACAATGTAAAATGTTAATATAATGGTTTGGTCAAATGAAATTCATTCAGTTGGTATATATTCTATTTATACCAAGTGGATTTTCTTACATTTAATTTTATATATTTCCGTTGCATTTTACTAAAAAAAAAAAAATTCCTTCCTGTTTATTGAGGGTTGCGAGGGTGAAGAATTATTTTTTGAGTGTGCCTGTGTGGCTTTGCAAGAAGTGTGAGAGGTGTGAAGTATTTTTAGGTGAATCAAACATTATTAAAGGTTTCTCTCAATATTTACAGTGTTTTAGAGTTTGCCGTGGTTGGGCCCCCTGACCTCTACAGGACTGGCTTCACATCAGTCGGCCCCCTGGCCACTATGGCCATGGCCTGGATCCGCTCTGAAAACAACCTGACTCATCTGTTGCCCATCTGCTTTGCTGCAAATACCAAGAGGTCAGCTGATGCTTTATTAAACCTGTATTTATACATTTGCATATATGTGCTTCAGATGAACCTGTCTGATCTGAATGTTTTATCCTGTCAGATTACAGTCGGAGCCAAGATGTGTGTGGCTATACCAAAGTAAGAGCTTGCTTAGAAACATCTGGCAAAACAACTTCTTTCTTTACAGCAGGGTTTTATCTGAAAATACTCACTGCTTACATGTTCCTTCTCAAACTTTTTCAGGGGAAACCAGAACATTACCTGCTGGAACAGGTAGAAATTCAGGTCTTGTGTGTGAGATTCAGGTGATTTTGAGTGTGATAAGTGTGGTTGCGTGAGTTATTATCAATAATTAACCTTCTGCTCCTGGTCAGAACTGAAGTGTGAGAAGACAGAGATGACTCTGGTGCTCCCCATCACCTCGCTCACAAACATCAACCTTGCCGAACTCCAGCTCAACAGCCCCACCTGCCCCGTCAACTACAATAACACACATGTGACTGCAACCATCTCCTTGGACGGCTGTGGCACAAAGACTGTGGTAAAATACTACGCAATTATGTCTTCCTTTACTTTTTTGGTAGCTGTGGCTTTCTTCCTTTATTTTAACATGAAAGGCTTTTATTCAAGAAAGGAATCACAGCAGTATTTAAAGAGCAGCTTAACGTAAACTGAAACTCATGTCTTTGCTGACACCATGTGGTTTCCTTTCTCCTTGTATATATGTGTTTCAGGAGTCTTTAGAAAGCAGTTTTAACTAAGTAACAAATCAATACCTATGAATTATGAGTTGATGAATATCAAAATGGTGAAATAAAGCTTAGCTGAATTAGCTTAGTCAGCTCTGAGAATGTTCACTCTGGGTCAAGCTTGTAAGAAGAGTTCAGAGATTTAGGCTCAAACAGGCTGCAGCCTTGTGATTGTACCTCCGTGTGGACTGAATCAAATGTAAGACATTAAACAGTCATATCATTCAGTAACAATTCCAGCGTAATGTAGCTTTAACCCCCAGCAGATTGCTCTTTCAGCACACATAAATGTCCTCTAGCCTAATATATATTGCCTACTGGACTTGACCTCTGTTCAGCTAAAAAAAAAAGAATTTGCCTCCATCTATCAAGACACATCCATGCTGTGTAATATTAGTGCTGTAAGGCTGGATAATGCTGTTCAGTGAAATTATAGTGGGATAAAAAAAGAAGGCTGTAAAGTTTAATTAAGTAGTCGTCAGAGAATAAGAGAAATCCTTCTCATGTTTGCTTCAGGCTATAAAGGAGGGAGACGATATGTAAAAACTGAGGTGTTAAAATAAACTTTCCAGCGAACAGTGTCACAGAGTCACCTGCAGTAGACCAAGAGTTTAACTTATCTGTCTTTTCTTAAAAAAAGAATTTCCCTTATCTGAAGCTCTGTCATCTGGTTACACAGAAGATGAAACTTATTGGAAACCTTTTATTCAAAATAGATTTTCTGGCCTTATATTAAAAATTATTTCTCAAACGATGAGATATTTTGCAGTGATAGATTATTTGTTTGGATTTTTCATTTTCTCTTTTCTCATTCTCAATTTTTCCCAGCACTCAGGCCCAGAGCTGGTTTACACCAACACCTTGAAAACCGTGCGTCCCTACTCTATGATTAGCCGCCAGCCCTTACTTATCCTGCCTTTGGCCTGCCGCATCCCAGGAGTCCAGGTCAAGGGCCCAAACGCTTTAATTGAGTTACCCACAGAGAGAGAGACCTTTGGTGCGTTTCGTGTTTGGATTGAATTTTACCTCCCAGGAACAGGGCCCCTGGCACAATTCACCAGAAATCCCACGTTTCGCTCTAACTTCAACTCACCACAAAGAGTGCGTAGAGCTGTTGACTCAGAAACAGGAAGTGAAGAAAGTGGATCCAGGATCAAACAACTGGACCTCTACGTCAGGTCCAATTGCAGTGTGGTTCGAGCCGAGATGATAGTAAACGAATGCATCGAGTCTGAGACTGAGGACTTTGCAATAAGCCGTCCTATTCTAAAACAAGGGTCAGTAATATTCAGCTTGTGTCCTGTCATTTTTTCAAAGTTACCACTTTGGAGAGGACAGATGCTCTTAGAAAATCTTCTCAAAGAAATGTTGTTTTCAGTACATGAAGCATATCATACAAACTGAAATAACAGTCGCATTTCTCTTTTTCAGGTGCTTGACATCCAGCAACACCTTAGAGGTTATTACTACCCAAAATAATTCCAGGGTTTACCGCCTTGATTTGAGTACAATACAGATCAATGGAACAACTGTAAGTGATGTCATATAACACACACATAAGCATAAGTGTCACTTTGCTGTACTCTTTCTGTGTACCAAAGGCTTGTTTCAAATAAAAGTTGAAACTGAGAAAGAAATCATTTTGACCAGCAAAATACAAAAAGTATTCAGGGTCATTCAATGTCAATTCATCAAATCAATGTTAAAGATACGTTTCTTAAAAGGCATCATGCAAAATTTCAGCATTACTGTGGCTGTAGGACAGGCTGTTTTAGACAATTTTCTAAAAACTACTTGAGTTAGCTTTTTTCACTATTTCTGTCTCTAAGAATACTTAGGAGCGCAGCTCAAGTTAGGAGAGCATGAAGGATGCTCGAAGTCCCTTAAATATTTGGATGTCGGATCTCCGACAGCTGATTTGTATTCCAGCAGAAACCACCGTTTTGTACGCAGGGGGTGATATTTTGTTTACAACTAGTCAGATACAAGGAGGATGATATTATTTAATGCAGTTCAAGTCAGGTGAAAGGATCTAGCTCAAGTAGTTTTCTAGATAATTGAATTTTAAAAAGGGGCCTTCACAAAAACGGTGGTAGAAAAACGTTTAAAACAGCCCTGGTGTTTTCCCTTCAAATACTTATCTGAGAGCAATAGTGGCATGATGTTTTTCGTGATTCCTATTAAGAATGTATTTTTGCCCTCAGTTTTGTTTTCAAACAAATTTGTGATGGTCAAGAGGGAAGTTGACAAATGAGGTGCTCCTTAAAAGCATTGACTGTAGAAGTGATGCAAGCCCCTGTGAGTTTTTTTCAAACATGTTGTAGCCATGGGAGTCACTCATAATAACTGTTTACTTAATTAACAGTTCTAACATTTGAAAAATGAATTTTACAAGCTTTCCAAAAAACATTGTGTTTAAATTAAAATTACGATGTATTTTTATGTATGTTTTACCTTATTTATGTTTTAAAATAAAGTTGATGTTTTTAGTTTGGAAGCCAGTTTTAGGGAAATCCCTACAATTTTTCTCCTGTTCAGTTGCACATCTGCTGTTTTCCACTTTTTAAAATTTATTACATTCTCAGATGCAAAAATAAACAAATAAATAAATAGAAATTAAATGGTGGTGTAGCTGGTTCTATCCCACTGGGCCAAACAGAAACATTTAAACTGATTTCCATGAGACTTTGTTTCATGTAGCTAGCACCATCATCTGCTCAATGCTTGAACAATATGTTGATTAGTTACCAAATACCTCTAAAGCAAATTGCAGATTTTAAATTAATTTTACTAATCAGTAAGTGCTATCATGCTAGCATGCTATGGAAAGGTACTGACCACTGCACACATCATGTGTGGTGGCTGACTTGTTCTGAGCATTTGTCTTGATTGTGCTTTAGAATTGTTCCAGTATTAATGCTTCGTAAACAGCTGTAGTGCTCTATGTGGCGATAGTGTGAAATACTTTAATCTGAACACTGCTGAGTGTAGCTTTTTGTGTTTACAGCTGTATGTCCAGTGCACAGTCAATCTGTGCATTACCACCATGCCCTCTCTGTTGTGCCCAAATCTATGTACCAGCTCCAGGAGTCAGAGCACCCTGGTTGGCAGTGTGTTCACCAGCAGCTACACAGTCAAATCAGGACCTGTGAGCCTTGTGCTCACCACTCCTGCTCCAACCACAACAGCCGTGGCAAACACAACAACCACAGCAAATACAACAAGTACTAATGTAACAACCGCTACTACAGCCACAGCTGCAACTACTCGTACAGCCAATACTGCAAGTACATCAGCAACTCCAGCTGTTACAGCTGCAACTACTGCAACCAGTATCACAACCAATACTGCAAGTACATCAGCAACTCC